TGTGGTTTAAACCAGTGGAACTGAGGACAAAGTGGGGCCGCCGAGGACACATCAAAGAGCCTTTAGGTAAGGGACTGGGATTTGGAACCTCCCCTAGATTTCTCCACTGCTACCAAAGGAGCATTGGATTTGAAGTTTACTGCTTTAAATTTTCTTTCTTTCTTTCTTTTTTTGTTTTCCCCTATTGGGGATAGAACCTAGTGCAAAGGCAAATACTCAATCATTGAGTAATACCTGTAATACTTTCTATTTAACTTTTTATTTTTAATTAGCTAATTATAAGAGTAAAATAAAGATAATAGGAAATAAGTAGATGGGGTGTTTTTGTAAATAGGAAGGGGTCAACGAAGAGATGGAGGGTAGAAGAAGGGGTTAAAAAGTTAAGATGTGTTACATACATGTGCTGGTTCCCCATGGGGAATGTTGATTTTTATGTACTACAAACATGTAATAAAATAAAAACTGGAAAAAGATTTTTAAAAATTAATTAGTTTTATGGTATTAAGGATTGACCCAAAGGGCTTTACTGAACTGTAGTCCCACCCCTTTTTTGGTTTTTTTGGGATAAGGACTCAACTAAGATGCCTGTCCTGGGTTTGAACTTGTGATCCTCCTGCATCAGGCGGTCATGTAGCTGGGCTTACAGGCCTGCAAAAATTTTCTACTTTTACTAACATGCTTTTTTGTTTTTTGAAATAAGGTCTCATGTAATTCAGGCTGGCCTTACACTCACTATGTAGCTCACGGTAGCCTCAGAGTTGAGGAAATCCTCCTGCCACAGCCTCCTAAATGCTGAGATTACAGGTGTGTGCCACCACACCCAGCTAACCTACTGTTTTACTTTCAGGTACCCATGGCCACATGAAGTGCACTTTTGATGGGAAGCTAAAATCTCAGGACACAGTACTGATGAACCTCTATAAGCGAGTTTTCCCCAAATGGACTTATGACCCGTATGTACCAAAACCAGTACCTTGGGTGGAAAGTAAGATTTCTTCAACAAGGCCTGACGTGGACACGGAGTAATGCCTAAATGCTGCCAATTAACACTTCCAGGATGGGAGCCTGTAGGTTGCGATGGGGCAGTTCGTGGTTTCTTCTTTAGCCTATCATTTGGCTGTCATATTTACAGAACACTTGCTGGTCTAACAGATGTCTCAGTTAGGTATTTTCTACTACAACTTATTTTTTAAAAACTGTTTAATCTTACTGAAATATGTATTGTCCATTTTGATTTTAAAAACTAAGGGGAATATGGAAAACAATAATTTCATGTTTGTAGAGACACCCAGTCACTTCTCATTTTGCATAAATGGATGGCTGATAAGGACCTGGCCTTTCAGCAGGCCTCACCCAAGTTAGGGAGGTTAAGTCTACATTTCCCCCACTTAACACAATACAAATGTTCTTCACTTCTGGAGAAACTGTTTGAAAGTTGTGAGAGAGTACAGCAGCTACTCCAACACCAGCTGTAGGTTCAATGAATAGTTTCATCCTCTCCCAGACCAGCTGGGTTGCATGCTGTTGGTAGAGAAAGAAGTAAAGATAAGTGAGGTAAGAGAAGGGCTAAATCTTAAGTAGGTTTGATTCTAAAAGGCCAGAAAGGACATATGCTGTTTGACCTTTCATGTTGCTGAGTATGTTTGTTTGCCAACAAAGCACACATACAGCTTTCAAAAACCCTTTCAAAGGGTGTTTTAGTACATGTAGGGCACTCTCCCACATGTGATGAGGTCACCTTCTTAAAGCCCCATAGATCTGGAGATATAGCTCAGCAGCACAGCCCATGCCTGACAAGCACAAGGTCCTGAGTTCAATTCCCAGTACAAAAAAAGGCTCCATAGGTCAGTTCCTTCTCTTTAACAGAAGGTTCATTTTTGCCTTAGTGACTGCGCTGTTCTTGTTACTACTATTCCTACTGGAGCTTTACCTTAATTTCATCCTCTGTAACAGTGAAGACATCATCCACAAGGTCCCTTATGATAGGCCATGTATTTGTGCCAATGCTGGATTTGACACCATCTGCTACAGTTTCTGGAGGATAAGTATTGGGAGTCAATTCCCCTTTCAGTTTGGACTGGTAGCAGTCATCTGCATTCAAGGGTTCAGCAGCATATACTTTCACACTAGGTTTCAAAGCCTGAGAAAAGGAATATTAGACACCTTAAAACCTAAGACCTCACTTCAGGTCTTGGATAATAGCATTGTGTGCATGCCCAAAATAGGCATACTAGGTCATATATTTCTGCCTAAGAGGTTTCTTGACAACATGGCCTTCAAGCATTTTATAAAATAAGTTGTATGTTTAATACCAGCCTTTTTAGTTGCCTGTATCAACTGGTCCTGGTAATTCAGGAAGGGTAGTCCCTATCATGGATAATAGTTTGGTGAAAAGGATTCAGGGGAAGGACTGAGGTGTCATTCAGTGTAATCACATTGTGCTGTAAAGTCATAGGGTAGTAAAGCACAGAAGGGCTTTGCGTCTCAGGTTCCAAGACATGTTGGGAAAGAGTGGCAATTGGGATAGTGAGCAAGTTTCCACAGTGTAATATGATGTAAATAAATCCTCAGTGCCAAATGCCAGAAGTCTGTCAGAAGCTGTTTTCTTACCTTAACTGTAATTGCTATTCCAGCGACCATTCCTCCTCCCCCTACAGGTACCACCAGTGCATCGACCAAAGGAACCTTCAGTAAAAATATAAATAGGCCAATTAGTAAGTAATTTAATATCTACACATAAAATAACAATCTATAGCTACACAGATTTATTGGTAGCTAAATAAGAGGAACTAGGTTGTTTTACCTGGTTCAGTACTTCCAGGGCAATTGTTCCTTGCCCAGCTATTACCGTAGGCTCTTGGTTGGGATGTACCAGGATACCTTCTGTTTCTTCCAAAATTCTTTTTGTAACCATTTCTCTAGACTGAAAGTACAGTAACTGGATTTGCATCTAATAGTTTTCACAAAGCTTGATTCAGTCATTTAGCAGTTCATTGAGCATTTGCTTTTTGTCAGTTACTGTGGGTAGATAAGATAGTGAACAAAATATACCCTGTCCTCGGGCTGGGGAGATAGCTCAGTAGAATAAGTGCCTGCAGGGCAAGTGCAGGGTCCTAAGTTCAATACCCAGTACCGCAAAACAAAACAAAACAAAAACATATATATATATATATAGAAGAAAGTTATATGTTTTAGAGTGGGATATGAGTAAATGTATGGGATATGTCCAGTTAAGAACTAAAATGAAGGTAGTTCAGAGGCTTGTAAATTACCAAATTACAGATACGAACAGTTACTGTGGATCTCCAGAGTGTGTGTGTGTGTGTGTGTGTGTGTGTGTGTGTGTGTGTACAAGGTCTTGCTATACAGTTTGGACTTCTAGTGATCCTCCTGTGTTGGCCTCCCCAGTACTGGGATTACATGTGTGCAACACCATGCCCAGTTTCAGTAGCAGCCTCCAGGGCCAACACAGTATGCGGTCCTGGAGCTTGAACCCAAGTCCTTGTGCTTGCCAGGCAGGCGTTTAAACCCCCAAGCTGTCTCCCTGGCCCTGGTTGATGTTTCTGAGGAGCCAGAATTATTTACTATGATTGCCATGTGTGTTTAGGGACAGAGATTGTTAGATGAGGTCAGAAAGCTAGAAATTGGCTAGTTCATTGAGGTCTTAGATAATGCAAGAAATTTAGTTGGCTGGGGAGGTGTAGTGGAAGGAATATGCTTAGCATGTACAAGGCCTTGGGTTTAGTTCCCAGCACCAAACAAAGCAAAATACCTCTAAAAGCTGAGTGTGGTGGCACATTTCTATAATCCCAGCATTCAGGAGGCTGAGACAGGACTGAATTTGAGGCCAGGCTGGGCTACATAACATAGTAAGACCGAATTTCAAAAAACAAAAAA